CTTGAACTCCTCCTGCCCTCCTGCCCTCCTGCCATTCACATAGCTTGCAGGACTAGCCTGTATCACAGGTTTGACTCCAAACTTCAAAAAAAGAAAAAGAAAAAAAAAAGAAAAAAAAAAGAAAAAGAAAAAGAAAAAAAGGCTATATGACTTTGCATGTTTTTGTATTTTTTAAAAAAACAAATGCAGGCATTAGATATATAATTCTGAATAGAATGCTTAAGAAAAAAGCCAAAATTAATAAAGAATTGAAACATTTTAGTTAGAAAAGCCATATATATAACCCACAAAGCCCATGAGATTCTTTTAATTTGAGCACTTTCTTACTAGATTGTGATTAAGGCCAGAGTGGAGCCAGTTCACATAGAAACACCTAATATCCTGTTTCTTCCTTCCTTCCTTCCTTGCTTCCTTCCTTCCTTCCTTCCTTCCTTCCTTCCTTCCTTCCTTCCTTCCTCCCCCTCATTTTCTGTCTTTTCTTTTCATGTGCATTGGTGTGTTTTCTGCATGTATGTCTGTGTGAAGGTGTCAGATTCCCTGAAACTAGAGTTACAGGCAGTCATGATCTGCCATGTAGGTGTTGGGACTTGAACCCTGTCTTCTGAGCAGCCAGTGCTCCCAACTGCTGGGTCATCTCGCCAGCCTCATTCTTTCTTAAATTCATAATTTGTTCAATCCCACTGATGCCTGCTGCAGAGCCAGTTACTTCCCCTCTTTATTTAACCAACCTGTGCTCTTTCTCAGTCCACATCCCCCACTGCTGTGTAGACATCTGTTGTCACACCTCACTGCTGTGTATGTCGCTTTCCCACTTTGTGTCCCAGGAGCAATTATGTATGGTAAGAGGCTCTCATAGGATCTTTGGGATCTGCTTAGATTCAACTTGGAAGCCAGAAATGGGTCTTGTGGCACTTGAGGCCAGGTGTGGACTGTGTGGCTGATGGTGGGTGGAGTCCCCTGCTCTTGGCTCTATGCTGCTAAGGAGTCTCCCCACTCACTGGAGGTGGAGATGACTGCTATTTTGTTCTGTCTCCCATTGTTCCTTGGTTGGGTGCATCATTAATGTGAAGGTACCTGTTGGTCTGGGTTGTTTAGGGCCTACCCAGGCCCTTTTGCCTCATGGTTTTGGTTTTTGGTTTTAGGAGACAGGGTTTCTTTGTGGCTTTGGAAGCTATCCTGGAGATAGCTCTTGTAGACCAGGCTGGTCTGGAACTCACAGAGATCCACTTGACTCTGCCTCCCGAGTGCTGGGATTAAAGGCGTGGGCCACCACCGCCTGGCTTTTACCTTGTGGTTTTCTGGATACTTTTTCCCCCTATCATTTTCATTGTATTATTCACCCTCTTCCCCGCTCTTCCTTCTTCTTCTTCTTTTTTTTTTTTTTCATGGAAAACTTAAAGAAATGTTTATGTGTTTCCCCACTTGGAACGCTCAACACATTTGGAAGACATTTCCTTAGAATTTCAAAGGGCACTGTGAGAAACTGAACTTTAATGGTGAATGTTCTGGATGTACAGAAACTGGAGGCATTCTCTTCTAAAGAATAACTGTGGTCTACTTAAACATAAAGCTGAAAGGAATAACATGATGCCAAATTTGGCTTTGAATTACAGGTTTAGAAGAATGGTACTTGTAAAGAGTCCTGGATTTGTTAGGCCTGTCTACAATATTGAGTCTGTTCATGCATATTTATTAGGTTGAAATGAGTGTATTTTTTCCAGTTGTTTGGAAAGCAACTACCATCTATATGTACCAAATACTGATTGTCTCAAATGTCTGTTAAATTGGAAAAACAAAGCTAGAAAGGCTCAGGGCAGCATAGAGGGTTGCTGAATAAATGCATCATTTGGTTTTTGTCTTGAAACCCTCCTAGACTTGCACCAGACGGAAATGGTAATACCCACTCCAGAGTTCCCACACTGTCGGCATGAACAGACTGAAACACAACTGTCGCATTATAGGCCCTGCCTAGCTGTTTCAGAATAGTGAGGCCCCTTCGGCACACTGAATAGTGTTCATTTTGTAGTGTTACTGGAAACTAGAATAGGAGTGCTGGAGAGACTGTCCCACACATGCCATTCTCAGTTTTACCTTCTCTATTTATGGCCAGTGACTATAGTGGGATTAGCTGACTAGCTAGAAGATTCTCCTGCTCATTAGCATAAGAGAGGGTGTAGCAAAACTAGTCACACTTTTACACTTAAGGACTTCAGTATGCATTATCTGATTTATTCTCCCAAGATCTAGCCCAGCATAGTCACCACACCTTTAGTCCTAGTACTTGGGAGGCAGAGGCAGAGGTAGGTGAATATTTATTTGTGAGTTCAAGACCAGCCTGGTCACAACCCAGAGCTATATAAAACAGAGACCCTGTCCCAAAGAAAAAAAGGCCATTTATTCTGTTTCTATTTTCAACTTAACATGGTTTCTCTTTGAAGAAATTAATTTTCCTTAAAAAGTCAGAATTTACTCAATTTATCAGCTGATTAACCATTTCCCATGAGTGTCTGTTTCAATGCCTTTTTCTTGGGCTGCTTGTCTATCCTTTCCATTTCCTGCCCCCATCCCACCCTGCAGACTGTATTTCCTGCCCCCTCCTCACCTTGCAAACTGTATTTGGAGTGTGTACTTTCTCCCTCAGATATGGCACTTCTTCTCTTCTTTAGTCCTAACAGTAAAACTTGAATGTTTTAGGCAAAATCATTTTTCATGGTGTTCTTGGATTAATAGCTAGGATAATTCATATTCTCTCTCTCTCTCTCTCTCTCTCTCTCTCTCT